ATGATGATGATGATGATGATGATGATGATGATGATGATGATGATGGTGATGATGATGATGATGATGAAGACGATGACGATGCTGATCAAGATGATGATGACGTAACAGAGGGTTCTTGAAACAATTAAGCTTTGAAGACAGACTTTTACCTGCATAGAAGCACTTCGAGTCTTGGGATCCCAGTCCTCCTTACACAGAGAGTAGTCACACATTGTCTGGACTGACAGGTCTGTTGACGAAGTGGTTCATAGGTAACAGGAAACAAAACCAACCCAAGAGGAGTCAATCGCATTATTTCAGAACAATTGCAAACACACATACTGTTGTTTGATAAATATATTGTGTGTATTTAGTATATGTATGTTGGAGCCCGTTGCATTGTAGGGCTCAATTGCATTGCCGATTCAGTTGCACAATTCAATTCCGTACTAAATCTTTTACCCGAGATAAATGGACGATGCTTGTTTGATAGGAAAGAAGAGCAAACCACATCATAGTGCCCGCCAACCTCACAATTAACACTGCAGTACTTCAAGCAGCAACACAACACATGCACACACATAAAGAGAAAAGTCACAGAGAATGTTGTTGAGAACAGTGAAAAGACACTGAAGAATGTCGAAAAGATGGCCCTGAACAAGGAAAAAGTGTTTCTTCTATTTTATGTGTTATTCAAAAGTCTTCTCCTATTTCACTTGAGTTGTGATTCCCTACTGGGTGCCTTCATCTTCTCTCGTTTGGTTCACTTTCTTTGGCATAAAGCTTACAAGACACAAAACAGAAGAGGCGAGTTGGTTTAGTAAGCACTTCCCAAACTCCAACCCCTCCCCCCGGCAAAAAACTACAAAAAATATACCCCTTACAAAAATGAAAACAAAGCAAGAGCAAACAAAAAAACGAAACAAAACACACAGAGAAAACAACATGAACAACAACAACAACAATAACAACAATAAAAGCATATGCCGTTCGACAGGCAGCTCTATACGCTTTACAGTACAAATATTACCCCAGCAGGCAGCCTTTAGAACATTGAGAAACCCTCTCAGCTTCCGAGGAAGCACAACATGCAAGCTGCCGGTTAAGCGCTCAGACACTAACACCACCAAACTGACAAGACCAATCTCCACATAGGTAAAGGGAGGAAAATTCGTATAAAGTGTCTTTAACAGAGACACAACACCGGACCTTTGAAGGGATTCGAACCCACCACCTTACGATTGCGAGTCCAAGAACCTAACCACTAAAATAGAAGTAGGAGAGATATTAAAAAATAATTTTATTAGAAAGGGAGAGTTAACTAAACTAGAGCACCCGCAAACCGCCCTTACCTGTGGTCTGATCCACATCCAGCTTGAAGACCAAGCAGCAGGAGGTGTTGTGGTCACACAGGATGGGGATGGTGGAGGAGATGGTCACGTTTTTCTCCATGTCTCTCTCACTCACGGTCAGTTTGCCCGGGTTGATCTGAGGGACACGGAGACGTGGTGGGGTGGTGAGGGTGGTTGTGGAGGGAAGAGGGGGAGGTGAAGAGGGAGGTGAGGTGGAGGGAGGCAGGGTAAGGCGAAGAAAGAGAGGAGATGAGGGGGAAGTTATCATATAAAGTGTGATATGTGTGTGTTTGTGCGTCATGTGGGAGGTGGGGGAGGGGAGGGGAAGTTATGATAT